TTATTTGAAATAGATTTTTCCATCAAGTAATTGTTCTGCTATTTCTATGCTTATTTGTGATCCAGATGCTCTCATAAAGTTTCAGGGTTATCAGAATAAATTGAGAGGAAAGGTAATAAGGGGAAGAACAAAATTCCATTCTGGATTTTTTTTTTGTTTGTTTTTTCTGTTTTTATTTCAATCCAAGAAATCAAGAACACGATAAGATCTACCTTCTTGTGAATAAAGAGAGAGAAGATCACAATGTGTTGACTGGAAAGAAAAATATGGGAGTAGTTTGCCAGGCAAATCATGTATGTAGCTGAGTTCCTTTTGGGAGACCTATGGAAAGCAATCAGGAATACACTGAGGAGGCCTTACTCCTTTTAAGTATGTCTCACCCAAGATAGCATTTCTTTGCAAAGGATTAGGGTTGCTGAGAACACACAGAACAGTTGTTGTCTGTTACTTCCCCATCCCCAACTTCTTTCCCTCACAGATTCTAATAACTTTAAGACTCTCAGAGAGAAGTGGGAGTGAAGAACTATAAATGTTGGGGCTCTGGGTTTTGTTATTGTTGTTAGATTGAGGTGGCACTGCCTCGTTGACCTGCCTTCCCATGGTCCTGCACATGCCTTAGGGTGCAGCTTGGCTCTTAACTAAAAGTGTAGTGCTTGCTCATTTCAGAAACATTCAGGGAGCAGAAAAAGGAGATGAGAACTCTTGTAAATTATATATATTAAAAAAATAGTTTTGCACTTTAGCTGTTGGAACTGCATGAAGAGACCAGCTGGGGCTGAGCAGGGGAGGGCGTAAGTTGTAATCAACATATTCATTTTTCAGTAAGCCTCAGATGCAGATCAAGAAATTCAAAGTTTGTGCTGACTAGGAGACAAGAAGAGCTCCAGTTCTCATCCAGCAGAGCCTAAATTAAAAAACAATTATGAAGAACAGAAATTTCTCTGAAAGCATTCAGTGCCTTGCATAAGTTTTCCATAGCTACTTTTTCTGTATATGAAATGGAATGACTTGTGATTTGGTCTGGGGATATTCCACTCACTTTTGTTCTTCCAACAACCCTACCCTGTCCACTGGGCATGTCCTTTCCAGCTGACAAGCATGAAACACTGTGTCAGTGAAGTTTTCCATGAACCAGTGCTGGTGTGGCTTCAGAGCAGTAAAAATAAGAGGATAAGCAAATTACAGAAGTCCCAAGCAAGCAAACTGAAAAACAGAAAAGTCTGCTTTTGTTCATTTTGTGTTTTCATGGAATGGAGGAATTCAGTTTTAAGGGAATGGTTATGGGCAATATTTGCCCACCTGAGCAAATATTGAACAAATCCGAGTAAGTTTTTCAGACTTGTCCTAGTGGTCTCCATGTCCCAAGCCACCCCAATCCCATTGTCTTTCAAGGTTGAACCCTGTGGGCCCTACAGCTCCAAATACTTATCCAATACCTCTGAGACCATTGCAAATTGGCAAAATCAGAATAATATGGCTTCATTGAGAATGTAACTAAAAGAACATTTTCCTAAAAGGACTTCAGGACTTAGTCAAATACCTAGCTCTGTCCTGTCAGTAATATGATTTATTTATATGATTTATTTTTTCCACAAAATGCATTAGGTGACTTTCGTGTGTTAATCATTGTACATCCAGGCAATGGGAAGAGGAATCATAGTTGCATTTCAGAATCATTCGAGCTTGTGAAGTCAGTAAAGAAATCTTCATCTTTGGTCTCTAATTCTTTGATCAACCTCATTTTAAATCTAGACATCTTCCATATCTGATATATTCTCTATCTCAACTAAGTAATAATTAAATTGGTAGGCCTATAAACAGTGTGGAACTAAAGAGAGATTGCAGGTACTTGGTGAGGTAACGGGTTCTTATTTTATATTTCCAATGCACCATATATTATAACATAGGGTACTGTTCAGTATATCATGGGACTGCAAAGGAAATATGACTAACTTGGCTCATATATTTAAAACCAGATATAAAGCCCTGGCTTGTTCTGTGTGTGTTCCTATTTCCTCTTTTAAATTATTCTCAGCATAAAGCATGTATTTTCATTCAGATCAGAACTATTCACAAGAGGCATGCAGCTGTGGAATGCGTTACATATTGTAATTATAAAGATATATTTGTTCCTTTTTCTTTGTGAATAGATTCGTGTATTGATTTGTTCTTACTTCTGCACACCTACACTGAGGCAATGGGGAAAAGGTTGATTTTATGTAAAATGACTTTAATTGCCTTATCTCTGGGGAAGAAATATAGTCATTGAGAACCTCCGTTACAGTTTTGTAACAATTTTTCCAAACAGACCTAGACTAATGATCCAAAACAATTTTGTTCTTAATTAAGACTATGGTTATAGATGGTTACTGGGATGCTTGGAGAGTTTGTGGAAAAAAAAAAAAGTCTAGAAAGTTCAAGGAAAAAAATGCAATGTTGAGCACATATTTTTAAAAATTAAATGAAAGCTATAACTTCAGTAAATTGTTTTGAGAAAAAGAGATATCCAGCAATTCAAAACTATCTAATAAGTGAAAACCTGAAAAGTTCAGGTTTTACTTTTGATCAAACAAGAAAAAAGAGACAGCAAAGAGTTGAAAGACTGAAAAAGAACCAACTCAAATCCCAGATCCCACAAAGAGATCATTGTGGAACGTTGTGACCCTCAGGCTTGATTCTTGTTTTCCTGAACATAAACGGAGACAAAATCCAAGAAAATCAATAGATGGTGCTGGTAAGACCATCACAAAGTGTGTCAGCTGAGGGCTAACTAGATGAGGAGGGACTGTTGGCTTTGAACCTTTTTTACCTCTAACACCTCCCTTTGAGGTAATGGCCCCCAGATTGCTCATAGGTTAGCATGCTTAGGAGATGCTGTTTTGAGAAGCAAAAATTAATAACAAGTAACATATGCTCTGTTAGCTTTTTTTTTTTTTTTTTTTTCCTGAAATATAAGGGTTTCTGAAATTGCTGCAGCAATGTTGATACTATGTTTACAAAGTTATTATTTGTTAATATTACCATTATATTTCAGTTTGTTTCAAGAATAGCTAGAGTAAATGAAAGAAGAAGGAAAGAAAGAAGGAAAGAAAGAAGGATAGGAAGAAAGGAAGAAAGGAAAAGAAAGAAAGAAAGAAAGAAAGAGAGAGAAAAAGAAAGAGAGAGAGAGAGAAAGAGAGAAAGAGAGAAAGAAAGAAAGGGAATGAGGGAATGAGGGAAGGAAAAATGAACCTGACATACTGACCTCAGAAGGTGTGAATTCTCTACAGATATCCCATAGTGATATTGAGTGGGAAGAGCTGTACAGAAATGCTGACAGTGAATGTTACATCAGATAAATAGATCAATTTTCCTGGCAGAATAACAACATTTTTTCTTCTTTGATACGAGGGGGAAATAGAATTGCTGAGCTGTGTTCTCTGTTAAGATTAGACACATACTTTCAGCCCCAAGCTCCTCTTTATCAGAACTTAATATTTAAAAAAAAATAAAAAATCTCTGCTTTAAGTAGGGCTACTAGTACTATTAATGTGTGTGTGTCTATCTGAAAGTATAGCATGAACGACTATTGTTTTTTATCCACACATAAATGTTTTCAGCTCTTTTACAGGAATGAATGGAAGTGCTTTGATTCATGTTTGTCCTGCTGTGTGAATGCAGCAAATTCATTTCTTAAATGAACATGTAAATGTTCTGTCTCATGCAAGCCCAAGAGGAAAGTGTTGTCATTCCTTTTTGTCTGAAAATCTATCTACCCAAGCTGGGTGTTCTCCATTTCACCCACCATGGTTTTCTAGATTTTTTTTTTCAATTATTATAGGCACCTCTTGGCTCAGATAGTCTAATCTTGCATGAAAATTAGATTTTAATTAATCTCTTGCAAAAATTTCTGCCTTGTGTGGATGATGTCACGTTTCCATTATCTAACCCTTAATAACTGATTATAGCCTAATTGAATGTACTAGAGGAAAAACGACAGGATGTCAGGATATAAAGTTCATTAAGGAAAATCAATTTGCAAGGCTTTAAATTGCATTAAAGGCTACCCTTTAAATCATCTAATGTATTTCTTCCTGGTTTGGGAAGGTAAATAGGCACATTGTGGAGAAATATTTGCAAGAAGTGGTACGTTTTGGGGGTAAATTAAATTAGAAATGACTGAAGATAAGACAACAATTCCATTATCAATGACAAGCTGCCAAGGTACTCAATGGAATACTTTGCCAAGTACCTTCTATTTTCCATTTGTTTATCATTAAAAAAATAAAATCTCATTGGTAGTTTGGACCAAGATGTATCTCATTTTATTAAAGAAGCAAACAGAGAAGGGTTAATAACCAACTTTGTTATTTGCTGTGCAGGATGGATTTGGCAGCCCCTTTTCATGCCAGACCAGATGTTTCCATCTTTTTCAAGTCTATAAACAGTTGAAACTGCTTATAGTCATATTCTTGGCATCATCATCAGCTGGATGCATTTCAATTAGTATCTTTTGTGGTACTAAATCCATACAATACCTTTGTGAACTGTTTAATACAAAAAAGTCAGTGGGAAACAGCCTTGCCTTAGTAGGTAATTCTTGACAGCTATGTGGAAGGAAGTGGTGATGCTGGAAGTGGGTGACAGTTTATGTACTGTGAAACTGTTGTTTTTCAGTTGTAGTCCCAGGGCTAGCTGCATCTCTTTTTTCTTTCCTGGGTGATAAAGGGGATGATTTTTGAGTAATTCTGGAGAGGGAAGGGAAGGATGATGGCTTGACTCTGAGGCCTGGAGCAGTCTATACTATCTGGTGTATGTTGGTGTGGTCTGACTGGAATAGGTATGTGTCTTACTCCATGCATGACCATTGAGCTTTGATACCAGTCATCAATGCTTTTGTTCAAAAACTACAATAAACAGGTAGAAAAAAAACATGACATTTAAAACTACAAGGATTCTATGAGCTAAATTAAACTAGGTTCAGTCCTGATTTTTATTTATTTATTTATTTCCCCCCCTAGCATTGTTGTTTCTTCTTCGTGCTATTATGTCCTGGATTTTGAAAACTGAATATGGGCCATCTTTATCTTTCCTCCTCTGGCCTTTGGCATTTTCCCATTCACAGTGCTCCAGTGGGTGACAAAGGCCACACTTCTGACAGGACTGCCCTATGGGGTCAGGATGGTGCAACGAGGCAGTAAGCCCTGTTGCATGACTCCAGCTGATTACACGACACAGGTGAGCCTTTCCTGAAAGGGTATATTCCCACCATAAGCTCAGTACTGGGGACATATTCTATATTCTGTATTTCTTTTTCCAAGGTCTGAAAACTTACTGCAGCTTGCCATGGTCTTCTGTGCATCAGTGGGACACTTACAGAGGGACAATGAACCCAGATGTCTCAACATTCAAAAGCCAACCTGCACTCTCCTCTTTATAGTGGTTTCCAGGTGAAATAATTAATAAGAACTTCAAAAGAAAAGGATGGTATATTTACCGTGTTTCTAGTCACATTTTGGCACCTTCCCTTTAGATGTTTAAAGAGTGAAAAAATAGTACAGTAAGTCTTTCTCTTTGAGATGGTTTATGATTTTTAATTATGTTGAGATCTCTTAAATGTAATTTTGTATGATGGCATCTGGTACAAACTGGATGCTTCACTTTGATCTCCTGTGGAATAGAAGTTGACAGTAATCTTCAAATGGAGAGTAACATCAGCAGAAAAACAGACATGAAATTAACATATTGGAGCATTGCTTTTCTTGTAATCATCACCATATTAAAAATGGAGGGAGTATTTTGAAACTTAAGTTTGCATCTTGAACTGTGTTAGTGGGGCTGAGTTGCTCTCATTAGCTATTTCATATTAAATTTGATGAGAAAATCAATGCTAATAAGCACTTCACTGGAAATGCTTCTCCTTTTTTTTAAAAAAAATGTTTATAATCATTTTAGATAACTTACTAAATGTCTTGTAATATTTTAAAGGGTGTTTCATTTATAGTCAAAAAAAAAGAGCAAATTATATATCAAAAGTAAAAATTCAATCTTCTCAGTCTCCTGTTCCTTTTAATAGTACCAGAATGAAAATGTTGGTGTGTCTGAATTTTACATACTTTCAATTTGAAATCATATATTTTTTTCATGTTTGATGTGATTGAAAAAATATTGTGCATATTTCTGCAAGAAATTTGCATTTCAGGTACAAAATTTCATGAAAGGTCCAGAAGTTATGCATTGATACTTTTTGTTACTTTTCTTGTAAACTCCAAATGACTGCAAAGACCTTCAATTTTTTACAGGATTTTAGAATATTCCCAATGTCGTCTCTTATTGTAAATGAGATAAATATGCAGATGTTCACTTTTAACGTGTTATTAACTGAACTTACATTGAACTTTTTCATTCTGAATGTTCTTTTTTTTCCCCTTCTCTCTCTCTCTCTCTCTTTCTTTCTTTCTACAGATACATATTTGGGTATGTTAGAGAGGGAAAAGGTACTTCTTGCAATTCCTTGCATTTATTGTGAAAAAAATATAAGTATTCCTACAAACACTTGCAGAAGGCTTTCTTAATTAAGACGTTTATTTGTAAGGAATATAATATATATGTACAATGCTGATGCCATCAAATTCATTTTGTCCTTATCATAATTCCAATGGAGTCACGAAAGTCTTTATTTTTCAGGAGACAGATACTGCCAGAGTACTCGTGTGTTTTCCTGGTTATGACTTCATCCCATCCTTCTTCAGACAGAAGAGAAAGGCCAGCATCTTTGTCTTGATAACTCTTCTTACCTGGAAAGAGCCAAGGCAGACTGAGTGATTTCTACTGCCCCTCTACCAAAACAGTAGCTTTTACTGAGTCTAAATAAACTGTCATGATGAAGGCCAATGCAGATTATTGTATTCTTTGTTATCACACAGTTTATTAAAGGACCACTGCACTGCAATTATGGAATGAGTAAATCTGTGGGCAGCCATCTGGGATGCTTGAGATGAGTCTCCAGTGCTCTTGCTGTGCCCAGGCCTGAGCCAAATGTCACTGACAGCCAACAGGAGCAGCTACTTCAGTGGAATAAAGATTGCTTTAATCAGGCCTTTATTTCAAAGTCTTCCATGATGTTTGTCTTTCCTCTGGCAGTATTTTAGGACTATAAGAAATGGCCTCTAGTGACCCTTTTAGTTTTCATTTAAGCTTTAAGTTATTGTTGAACAATTTAAAATGATCCCCCTCAGCTGAAGGAGACTGAACACTGCTTTCTATCCATCTGTAGCAGGATGCGTTCAGAAGGACATATCTGGGCTTTAAATATGTTTATTGAACTTTATTATTTTTTATTTTTTAAAACCTTTACTTTTTTTTTTTTTAATGTTATTTAATTGAAAATTCTTTACCACATCTGCAATGTCTTTTGGTGTTTGTTGAGCAATGAGCAATGCTCTTTGTTCAATAGGCACCATTAGGTAGAAAAGTACCTAAGTTGCAGGTTTGGGTTCAGATACTTTGTCAAAGAAACATGATGAAAGACAGTAACTACCAACAATACACTTGGGCCTCATTGGTGCAGTTTGGACCTAGTCCAAACCCACTGAAATTGTCATTGTGCTTTGAATGATGCCTGTAGGAAGCTGGCACTTAAATATTTTCTGACCTTACACATGCCACCTCCCATCCCAGTGTAATAGACCCCAGACTGTACCATGTGCTGGGGACTCGGCTACCACATCCTTCCTTTTGTTTTAATGGCTCTCTGTACCCTCCTTTGGGCTGGTTGTGTGTCCAGCAACACAATGGAGCAAAGCAGAAGAGGGACTTAGTGATGCATGGTTTCAATAAAAGCGTTTGTTCATCACTCTTTGCTATGGCTATACCCTCTGTTAAAGTCTCTCTGGTTGACTGAGGGGGGTTTTGGAAGAGGAGGGAGGAGAAAGGAACTGAACTATTATTTGCATTTAAGCCAAAGTACTAGCTGCTGCACTGCTATTAGGAAAGAGCATGTCCCTGTACCCTCTACGGGTTCATGGGCCATGGGGGTACCTGCTAATTTAAATCCACATTGCCACTGCTTGTGTCTTTCTGCACAGCACAGCATGGCACAACAGAATCTCTGTCACTGAAGAAAACTATTAAAAAATATAAGCAGGCAGATTGAGTTTCTCATTTTTGTAAGAATTCAGGGTCTCTGGAAAATAAGATTAGCAAAAACTAAAATATATGGTTGACCTGCTATTTGCAATTGCGAAACCTTGTGATACAGTGATTGTCTATTGCTCAGCATGACAAAAAGCTAGACATAGAGCAAAGCTGCAACAGAAAAACAGGGAAAGCAGTAAGAAATAAGTGGGGAACCAAGTCCTTTTTAGATTTGGAACAGTGAGTGGCATGATAAGAAAATCCATTGTGTACTTTCTGTCAGGCTGAAAATCTACTGCAATTTAGACAATGAGAAGCTCTTGTGGCATTGTGCTAGTACTGCTGTAGTTAATGCTGCTCATGGATGGCAGAGCAAGGGAAGTAATCTGATAAATGAAATGTAACCACCTGATGCATAATTCAGTCTTGCAAGGGCAGTGTAGGAAAACAGTATCATATCCAGACAAATTAATCTGTCTTAGGCTTATGACTATCTCAATGCCTTCCCTTTCATTCTCAGTTTAGTCACAAGTATATATGTGATTATTATTTCAAATGGAAAGTTCTTTTCCAATAGCTATTTTTGAAAGATGTTGTCTCACAGCAAAATCTCTTTAGTGAAATATGCTTTCATTTTGAAGTACAATAGGAACTGTCAGTTAGAACCATCATTTGTTTTGCTTTGTTTTGTTTTGTTCTATTATTTGTATATTATCAAACTTGAGAAATGCATTTGCATGTAAGCAGTCAGTGCTAGAAGTCTGGTTTCATTTGTAATTTCAGATGTTGGCACCAACATAGTGCATTATGCTCACCCACCCCAAGCATAATCCGCTGATTATTAACAGCTGCATAAAGTTTCCAGTGTCCACATAGTGCTACACCTTAACAAAAATAGAGGGGAAAATGAATTTATGGCACTTTGAGGAAGATTTGGCTTTGGAGAGGTTTGGTTCCCTGCCCCAAAGGGCATCTGGGTGCCCTGATTGCACAGACCAGGATTAACTGGAGACCCTTGGCCTTAGACATTCTTGTCTTGTTTGTTGTCACATTGTTGACATGTCTTGTTTGTCTGTTTGTTGTGTTTATCTACACACCATGGTTGAAGTCACACAGCCGTTGGTGGTGCAACACATGCTGCAGGCAGTGTTTAGGGTCAACAGGCTGTTCTGAAGAACCTGAATTTTTTATATGACATTTTTGGCTGGTACTGAAGTTGATTGTAGATCCACTAGAACAAATTTAGTACCTATAACAGAGAATGAATATCTGTTAGGCCTCTGGAGTGACTCCCAGTCCCCCTCCCTTCCCCAAATACAACTCCTTTTTCTTCCAGATTTCATTTGTTTGTTGTACTAGGCATAAACTACTTGACATGAATAAGTCACTGAAGCACATAGACACTGAATAAGCAACACTGAATAAGCACATCTTTCAGCCTGCAATCTTTACATTCAGGTTATTTTATGTTCCTGCTGACCACATCAGGGTAGGGGAGGCTCCCTGCAAGAGCAGAAAAAGTTCAAATGTGAAAGAACTGCAGCAATGGGGAGATGACAGGGGAAGAAATAGTGATTTCAGCATGGGTGTTAGGGATTTCACATATGAAAATTGAAGATTCAGTGTCTTCTACTGTCTTTATGAAGCAGAGAGTGTTCCTGTGTCTCCTATCTCTCAGGATATCTGAAAAGATTATGGATATTCTCTGCACAATAGTGACTCACTGAACAGCCTTAGATCTCATTCACATATCATTGTTCACAAACAGGGTCATAGCTTTAACAGCCAGGGAGAGAAAAATGTCCGTTTGAATCAGTTATTTTCTTATTCTACACTTTACATCTTGTTCCTCCCCCATTAGAAAGGTTTTTCTTGAAACAATAGAAAACAGCAGATAAGGAAGCAGGCTACAGCAGATATAACCACTTAGTTTCTGTCACCTAGACAAGCACATTTTTTTTCCTCTCTAATGTAAAGGTGTAAAATGTGAACAAAAGCACATTTTCATTCACTAAGTTCCTTTAGTGCTGGAACTGATAAAATCTTAAACATGAATCCAGAGCCAGCAGCAATTGAAGAAGGAAAGGGACTCTTTCTCAGTGGATACCAAAGAAATGAAAAAGGAAAAAATCTTAACATTACCCAGAGCTGTAGCAAAAGCAAGGAATAAGTGGGTTAGAATTCAGGAAGAAAGGCCTTTTGAGGGTGGTTTAACATGATGCTGCCATTTAAATTTCTGTTCAGGAAGTCCCTAAACTAAAGATTGGCAAAAGCTGGCAGGGAATAATAGGGAAAGGAACGCTTTTTTTCTGTCTTTTCCTAATGCTCATTCCCTAAATAGCTACCACTAAGCACAAAAGGTTGGATTTAATAGACTTCTGGTCTGCCTCAAGGTGGCTGTTTCTTACATTGTTAAGTAGGTCTCCAGATGCAAGGCTGGGAGAAGTGTCTTGACAGTTCAATAGCAGTGTGGAATGGAGAGAAGTGGGTATTACTGCCCTCACATCCTTTCCTTTCCTTTCCTTTCCTTTCCTTTCCTTTCCTTTCCTTTCCTTTCCTTTCCTTTCCTTTCCTTTCCTTTCCTTTCCTTTCCTTTCCTTTCCTTTCCTTTCCTTTCCTTTCCTTTCCTTTCCTTTCCTTGCCTTTCCTTTCCTTGCCTTGCCTTGCCTTGCCTTGCCTTGCCTTGCCTTGCCTTGCCTTGCCTTGCCTTGCCTTGCCTTGCCTTGCCTTGCCTTGCCTTGCCTTGCCTTGCCTTCTTTCCCTCTTCCTTTTCCTCTTCTATTTTATTTCTCTCTATAGACTATTATCCTTTTGCATTACTTGCTGTAGGAAGTAAATAAGTTCAAAAACAAGCAAACAAACAAACAAAACAAAACCAAACCAAACCAAACCAAACCAAACAAAACAAAACAAAACAAAACAAACAGCCTATTCAGTAAAAGTAGGCCTGATAATTAGGATTTATGTGTCAGACCTGCAAATATTAATAATAGTTTATACTTCATTTTACAGAGCTATTGGTATGCCATGAGGGAACTGTGTGTGTTGTTCACAGAGGTTCAGTTTTATTGAAGAACATACCCAAGGAATATTGAGAGGATTCAGCTAAGATATTTAGAAGATCTGGGAGGAAAAAGCAGCACCATTTTTGTAGATTGAATAGGAAAGGGACTTTTGTCTCCCATTCATGCCTCAGAAAGCTCATGAAGAGCTTTATAAGCTCATGAAGAGAGATTTCTAGAATGATATTGTATTGTTTTTTTGTTGTTGTTGTTGTTGTTGTTTTTTTTTTTTTCTTTTTTAAGTTACTTAGTTTCTCTTCAATAATATACATACTTAGATGAACAGAAACATCCTCACAGTCAGATCAATTCTAAATTGCTTTTTTTGTATGGCCATCAGGTCTGAATCCATATTTCTACACAGTTCATTTCTGAAGAATTTGCAAATTAGATTTTGTTCTTTGTGCACTGAAATATTAATACATACTGCATATGTATTTTTAACATTTTTCTTTGTTTCACTGAGCATGGGTCAGAAGAAATGTCTCTTCCTCCACATGCTGATCTCCAAATTAAGTAAAGCAGCATTAAAACAGAGCACATAAATACAGTAAAAATATAAATGAAAATTTTGATAACAAGACCTGCTTAAAAAAAAAGTCTGTACAGACAGTAATGTAGTTACTCAAAAATATCTTAAAGACCTTTTGCTCTACCTGCTGCAGATAATAAAACATTCAGGGAATTATAGATTATGTCCTGGAATATGTTTAGATCATTATTTCTAATAACAGCAATGCAATTCTTTGAACAGAGTGCATTTCACATATACAGAACAACCATAAAATAAATAAAGTATATATTGTACTGAAAAAAGAAGGCTACATTTCATGATTTACTTAGGGTTTGGCAGAAAAATAGTAAAAGGTAGATATTATCACATTAATGACTATGAGCTGT